CTTTTTTTTTTTTTTTGCATCTACTTAGGCTAATTAAAACCTGTGGTCCTAATGATGTACTGAAAATTAGGCATTTGCAAAACTCCTTACAGGTTGGGGGAATAAAGGCATGGATTGTAAGACTGAGAAAAGAAGAAAAATCAGAAGGTCATGTTATTTTATCTCTCACTGGAGTTTTCTCCTAGGATTTGTTATGATTTACTGTCATTACATATTATGTAAACAGTCACTGTTTCCATGAAGTGGGAGGTCCTGTTAATCTTCTGTAACCATTCAGCATTGTTTGTGAGTTTAACTGGAAATGCACTTCCTTACTGTACAGGAATGATCAGGAATCTGTACCCTATAGCCTCAGGTTATGGCTCTGACCCCATATAAGTGTGTAGGTGGGGTCTCCCTGGTAAGTCAGTAAAGCCAAGGAAAGTCTGAGATGATTTCTGTGCTTCCTGCTGTTGTTTCCTCCTTAGTGGATGCTCTTGTCTCATCCAGATTAGCAGCTGCCTGGCCCCAGGGCCCATGAAAATACTCTGGAAGGATACTTTCTGTTTGAGCTTTAGGGAATGACTGCATGGCAGGTGGTTAAGAAACAAAAAGGTAAATAGAGAATGAAGCCTCTCTTTTTTTCCTGCTTCCTTCTAAATCCTTTACTAAACTACATCCTTACTTCATCCTCTACCAGGAGAACCAGAATTACTTAGTCATACAGGCTGTCCACACTTTCTTCAACAACAACAGCAAATCAGTTCTAGCAAATACATTGCTTACAGTCTTGTGTTCCTTTTGTTGAAAAGCCCTGCCTTTTGGTGTTGTGCTTTTTCCCATACCCAAACTTTCACTGACACCAGTGCTAGCCTTCCTGGGGTGTCAGACAGTAACATATTAATTCCCCTTTCCAGGAGTGATTCCTTCTGTGCTGCCACACCAGTGGAGATTGCAGCAGGGTCTCCTTCCACACCAGTGGCTACACTGGAGCAGATTCTCTGGCTCTGGTTCCTGTCCCTGGGAGTTGTCCTGGCTAGATGGCTGTGAGGAGGTGGGAAGAAATGCACAGCAGTCCTGTGTTCACTCACTTGGCTGCCAAACATGCACATTTCACTGCTTTCTTGAGAGCACTTTCCTGCTGTGGAAATGTGATATGCCTGACTAGGTAGGCCAACAGCTGTGTGATTGTCCATCTGCTGCTTCTCCAGATTAAATATTAGCCCTCGTGTCTCCTCCAAAGCAATGAATTTTCTCCAAGAACGGTTCTCAAAGAAGAGCTTTTCTTCCTTCTCTTCTTCTGCACAGATATTCCGTGAGATAAGTGATTCAGATGGGCAGCAGGGGAATTTAAGCACACAACTGCCAACATGTAGGGACTATTATTTGTGTAGATTTTTTTAAATGTAATTGCTCTTCAGAGGTAAATGAAGCAAAGCACACAGCCACAGTGAGATAACTACACAGTGCTAGTGAGGGAATCCTGTCACATCTTCAGGGTGAAGATGGCTGTTGGCTGGTAAGATCTCCTCACAAGATAAATGTTTCATAGAAAACTTTTTCCATGAGAAATATTTCAGCTCCTTATGGCCTTTGTTGCTACTTCTGCTCTACCCTGACCATGTGCATTTGTTTATCAG